GTTACTCTCTGATCTCTGTGTTAATTCCCATCTACTGCAAAAAAGAAGCTGTGGGTTGTACAAAGCACTGATCTGTGGGTACAGCAGTCTGTTATTAGGAGTCATTTATTGCTGTATTCCGTTAGCAGAATAATAGTAGTAGGTTTTTTAGATGTACTTCTTTTCTTAAAAAATTTGCAAAGACTGGGGAGATGAGGGATGAACAACAACAACAACAAAAAATTAAAAAAACCCGCCACAACAAGGCTAGGAGCCTGCTTTGATGGATAAGGTGTGCCATCTGAGTGTGAGGGCTGGGATTTAGACCCCCAGAACCCATATAAAAATTGGTTTGGTTATGCCAGCCTGCTTGTAATCCTGGCATTTAGAGCCAGGAACAGAGGCTTCCTGCTGCATGATGGCTAGCTAGACTAGCCAAATGGATGAGCTCTGGGTTTACTGAGAGATAGTGGTCTCTATATGAACCTCCACGTACAAACACATTTACCTAGGCATATGTGCCCATGTAGAATTTAGAATATTTGGAGAGAAGAGATTTGATTGATTAAACATACCAAATATAAAAGTGTGGAACCTGAAATGCTCTCACATCAAAAGCTTTTTGTCTTGTTTTTTTTTTTTTTTTTTTTTTTTTTTTTGGTTGGTTGGTTTGGGGTTTTTGTTTGTTTGTTTTTGAGACAAGGTTTCTCTATGAAGCCTTGGCTGCCCTAGAACTCGCTCTGTAGAACAGGCTGTCGTCAAACTCACAGACATGTGCTTCTGCCTCCCAAATGCTGGGAGTAAAAAAGGTGTGTGCCACCACTACCCTCCAGAACTTTTTGAGTGGCATATTACTTACATCAAGGCCACACTTCGTAAGCCTCCTCAAACACCACCACCTACTGGACCCATGTGTTCACTATCTGAGTCTGTGGGGGATATCACATTCACACCATCACAGTGACAGACCAAAAGGTTTGTCAGCTGGGCCAAAAGATTTTTGTTTTTGGAGTCTTTCAGATTTCTTGGCTAGGTAAGCTCCACATAATGCTGGTGCTGCTGGAAATAACCGTGGCCAATGCATTGCTCCTCCCTCCCCCCCTCCTTCCCATTTCATTCTTGCAGTAATCTCATGAAATGAGGAAAATCTTAGCAGTTGGCTTGTAGAATTCCCAGATTATTTCAGTAACATACTGCCAAGTTAAAACAGATAAAAGCACTGTATCTTAATTGGGCCTGGTATGAAAATTTTTCACTTTCCTGTCTTTTGTTGACCAGTTGGAAGCAATTTGTTGCTTCTGAAGGGGTAGGGAGAAGCTCTCATGATGGTTATTTTTAGTTGTCTTGATAGAGTTCAGAATCACTTGTGAGGTGAGCCTCTAGTCTTACCTGTGGGGATTATTTTGATTACATTAATTATGGTGGGAAGACCAGCCCACTTTGGGCAGCACCATTCCCTGCCTTAAGAGGGGAAAGTGAGCTGAGCAGTGGCATATAGACATTCATTTGCTGTCTGTTTGAACCTGCTGCTTTAAGCTCCTGCCTGTGTGACTTCTCTGCCATGATGGGATGTGAGCTAAATAAACCCTTCCTCTCTTAGGCTGCTTTTATCAGAATATTTTATCACAGCAACAGAAAATGAGATCAAGACAGCCCTGATTTGTAGCATTTGTCAATTCTAGTACCATAATTTCTCCCCTAAGGATTGATTTCAAGCTATCCAACCCCTTTACTGAGGGCAGAATTGGCAAGCAATAAATCCTGGATAAAATATGTTATCAGCACACTATTATATAGATTCTATTAATGTAAATCTCAGGACAGTATATTGAGATACAGACTTATTAATACAGGGCTTTGGGGTATTATATTTGCTTTACATCTATTTTAGTTATTTGTAAATTTAATTTCTAATGCTGGCTGTGCTTAGCAGTTGGCTTGTAGAATTCTCAGAAATTTAACAGCTGGTTTTCATTAGTTCATACAAGTTGGCCCAAGCTATTACTGACCAGACCTACCTTATAATATTGTGTGGCCAACATTATCTAAGACATCAGTGATTTTTCCTCTCTTCTTTCTTCTAAAAATTCTATTTTATTTTCCTGTGTCTGTATTTACCCTGTTTCCCACATTCTGTTTCTTCCATCCACTTCTATGGTATAATTAAATAACTTCTTATTCCTGAAAATACCTAGCTCTTTTCCATTCTATTACCTTCTTCTCTCATTTTATTCCTGTGTATTGAAGGAATACAATACACCTGTGTATCCCAGTGACTAGTATCTTCTGGCAAGATCTTATAGAGAAGAAATCTTTGGTCTATGAAAGGAACACATATTCTTAAGAGTTCTGATGAGGAGTCAGGATTAAAATAATTTTTATATCAATTATAAGGTAATCTTTGCAGTGCTACTAATACAATAGATGTTCAGAATGTGGGCAACTGACACTTCTCACCATTTAGAATTCTCCTTTATTTATGTAATCCTTTTATTAAAAACCCATTTTAATGGACAATTAAGCAATTTCTCTGGTTAACATTTTTTAAATCACTATACATTTTTATTTGGGGTATCACCTATGCTTATAATGCTTTTTCATTCGCTACTGTGTCATCTATCAACGAAACCAGTAATGTCCCTAAAAATGAAGAAGTTCAGGGATATACTTCTCATTAATGAGAAGGGGAAATTTTTGTCTTTTTAAGGACAGCACTTTGTTTTTTAGGCTTATGTTGCTGGAGACCGATGACATAGATGCAATCCTTTCCTGTCATTGGGTCAGCCTGAAATAATAGTTGAGAGTAGGTTGAACATTATTTTTCTTATTAAGCTCATCTTGTAGTTAGTAGTGTGACAGACTTATTAATTGTGCAGCCAGACTTTTTAATCAATGTCTTTTGTGGTTTGGGTCTAATTTTGAAGAACAGAGTAATCAATCAGGGCTTCTCTTGCAGAGAGTAGATATCAAGTAACCAATCACCTAAATAAATATATATATCACTTAAGTAATATATAAATATATAATATATAAAATATATAAATCAATAATATATAAATAATATATAAATATATATAAATCAATATATAAATCACCTAAATAAACATATATATTTTATTTAGGTGATTTATATATTTAGGTGATTTATATATTATATATAAATATATATATTATATATATATATTTTTGTGGAAATTAGCAGCTCTCCTCCTCTTTCAACCCTTCTTGCTTAATCTTTCAAAGTCATCTCACTAGGGACCTGGTGAGCCACCATAAAATAGGAGTCATTTACATCTGTGAAATGTGGAGCTTGTTAGCTCTCTGACTATTAGAGGGAACCAGCTACTTTTAGTTCCAAGTGCCTTTGGAATTTAGCTTTTGAGTTGCATTGAATTGAATAAAGCTTTTTTCCCTTCTCTTGGGTATAAGGTTATGTGGCTTAGCTTAAAAAAAAAAAATAACGGTATGAAAGCCATTCAGAACTTTGTTATTTTGTCTTGGGAGTCAGAAAAGAGGTTGGTATTAAAAGCTTTTTAAAAGGATTTCAGTTGCTTATGTCAACCATCTCTTGCCCCCATCGAAAGGAAGGCCCAAATACAGTAACTCAGCAACAACACCCCTCAGGTAGAGAGAAATCCTTGGTTCTGAAAAGGATTCATTCGTAGAATTCCAGTTTAGAAATCTAAGTGAACAAACTTCCATTAGAAATCCAAGTAGAGTTTCTCTCTTGTAAAGGTGTAGGTGGTAAGTAAAACTGACCATAGTATGTACATGTAAGAATGAATGGGCACAGCTGGGCTTCAGTGTAGGTTTACTTGTGACACAGAAATTAACAAAACCTGCAAGAGTCAGGGTTTGGGCCATGGGTCTTGGTTTCCAACACATGAAGAAAAGGATGAAACTTCTGTGTTTTTATTTGTAGAGTATGAGGGCTTCAGTACGTAGAGAGACTGGACTGTTCTCATTGAGCCTCAGACAGTTAAACTGGTTGCATCATGCTAAAGAATAGCATTTCACAGGCTTAAGCTTTTTAAAATCATTTTCGAGAGAAAGACGTGTGCAACAGACCAAAATAGAGTTTGGAGTAGTGACCAAAGCTATGATAATTCTTTTCCTGGCTGTGATATCCCTCGTTTGGGTGTTTGGGTGCTTTAGAGTGCTCCAGTTATAGCCAAATAAGTTATGGCTTATTTGGAGGTTCATTCTGACTTACGTGTTGCGTTTGGTGGATTTGAGCAGTGGGAATAAAATAAAGGGATATTTATGCTCTGGGAAATACTTTGAACTCAGTCTATAAAATCATTGTGCTGTTAACATTTATTAAAATTAATCTTAGGTTTGATGGTATAATTTTGGGTGTCCAATGTATAGCAAAATGCTGCCTTCTGCTTCACTGACTCTAGGTTTAATAATGTGGCCACAGGGTGGCATGGTTCCCTTATATACCTTATTGTTGATAAAATAGAAAAGAGGAAGATAAGTGAGAGCGTTCCCCAATTTTTATGTTAAAATGACCAGGCTTTTACTAAATTATTGTTTCTATACTGCATTATTAAGATTTGCAAAATAGTAAATAAATCTCTGTTCCCTAGACTTTGATATGTTAAAAGTTTTTTTCCTGTTGTCATTAGCTTGTGGTTATAACAAGTGTTTATAATTGGGAAGAGTGGTAATTCATAGAGTATTAAACTGTGAGCTTCAGCTTATTCTTTTAAAGTCAGCTTATGAAAACTGATAGAAGAGTGTTTGAAACTAGTAGACAAAGATGCTTTCCATCATAAGTAATTGCAGAGGTGTTTGGCATGATCCTTACCTGATTATAAAGGCTTAATGGAAGGAGGAGAACAGGCATGTCAATTCATGGGTGGAATTTGAATGCGGTTACTGTTTCAAGGCAGATCTACTATATGCCCTCATCTTTGTTGGGAAATGGATTGACTTGGTAGTAATTCTTGAGATGTAGAAGTTAGCAGGCTCCCAACAGAAACCCTACTAATGCAGACTTGGGGACTCTCTTCTAGGGCGATTGTGTTGTTACAGTACTGCTTGCTGAAGAGGACAAAGTTGAAGATGATGCTATTTTTTACTTGATTTTTTCTGGTTCTACCCTCTATCACTGCACAAGTACCCGAAAAGTCAGCTCTGATACGTTGGAGACAATTGCTCCTGGTAAGTATCTGAATGGAGTCTTTTCTAGCCTTTAGTTATTTATTATTTTGTCATTTTATTTTGAGCAGGGTTTAGCTGTGAATAGCCAAGGCTGGCTGTAAAACTCTCCTGCCTCAGTCTCCTGAAGGCTGGGATTGCAGGCCTATACTAATATACTGTGCTTCTTTACTTTTAGTGGATCCTTTCCCTGCACCACACACACACACACACACACACACACACACACACACACACACACAC